GAAGGTGTCTCTTTATAAGTGCACAATCAAAACTGTTAAAGACTGAAAAATCCAAAATGAGCACTTGGAATGGCACCTTGCTGAGTATGCACCAACAGGCATAGCTCTGAGTCCTTTGCTATTGATCAACTGTGGAGGTTCACCCAGACACATTCCAGTTGCACCTGGGACACCTGTGGAAGATGGAACAGCCTCCACCCCCAGTGTAGGGCTGTTCCTTTGACCCCATCTGTTTTAAGGGAAGTTGGTACACATCCAGGCACATTCCCACAGCTGAGCAAGAAAATGGTGCTGCATTCACAAACATGCCACCTGCTATTGCACTCCTAGGACAAGGGGCATTATGCAATGTCAAAAAAGAAAAGAGGAAAAAAAAACTTCAAGCATAATCCCCAGTGCACATATTACCAACAGGATTCTAGCCAGAGTGATCCCACAGGTTGTTTCTCATCAAGTGAAATAGCAGTTCTTCAGATGAGAACCTGGACCCCCTTGTCAGGACGGGACAGAACCACTAGAACATAGTGCTTCCAGTTCCCAACCTCAGGTAATCCAGGAAAACACCACACTTATGTCTATGAGAATTCTAGGAAAATAATTATCTCTTGCTAACATCAATGCAATCAAAGCATTCAGCCCACCCTCAACCAGGCCTGATGTGAGGATGAAACAGGTTTGGACGTATATGCAGTCCCATGTTATGATCCCTCACTTCTTTAACTAGAGGATTCCAAATTTCACAGACAGGAAAGTTGTTCTGACTGATGCTGGATATCAGATATGATTCAGGCTAGACAGAGCAGTAGACTAGACCAATGCTCTGTCTAGTCTGAATCACAACAGCTACGCAACATCTGTGTATTATTACAAGATTTTGTAAAGTCTCAAGCCAGCATTATATTCTAAGATTTCATTAACTCTTCACACTGTTTCATCAGATCCTTGAACACCTATTATACTATTCTGTCTTACTTGAAAAGAACTGAATTAGTTTAAGACACTATGCAATATCAAGATTTCACCTCGCCAGCAAAGAAGATTGTTCCTTGTATGTCTTCAGCAAGGATATCATAAGCTTCACCACTTCCCCCTGTCTTTACAAAACTATATGCCATTTGGATCCAAGGGTCTTTGCTCCACCGTGTAACGAAGTATTTGACTGGGTCAGGCACCTCCTGCATAAGAGAGGCAAGGAAAAAACACAGAATCTTTGCAATGCACAGCCAAGCCCATGTATGCATACAGTCTAATGCTTTATTACAACATATGGTTTAAAGGTAAATCATCATTAAATTGCTTGACTTAATTTAAAAATTACCACTAGGTGCTTCATAACTGATAAAAAATTATAATGTTCTACATTGGTTGGGCAAACAAATGCATAAATAACTGAGAAGATGTCTACTAGGTTATTGAGTTATTCCAGTGAAAGAAGTATGACAGTCCTTCTAGGAAATTATCCTTCTTGTTACTAGTTTTCTGACACCTGGATTTAAGGTGTTCCTACAATGTAAAACATGTACCAGAACATTTTTTTTGTTCTTTTTTAAATGGTGGCATTTCAAATCCTACTTTTAAAGTGCAATGTGATTGCTTTGAATTTATCAGGTCCCCAACTCAACCTCTGGCTTCTACAGGTAGGACTAACAAAGAAGTCTGTCTGAAACCCATCATTAAAAGTGAGTGCAGAAAATACTGAACAAGATGTAGCAATGTATAACCCAGCTTTCTAAGTTCTTATGTAAGAAAGTAAAATTATTAAGAGTCACAATGCACATTATGGCTATCACAGAGAGGCTGTTGAAAATTGCTTTCCTGTAACCAGTTATCACTTGTTGCTCATAGGCATACTATGTCTCCAAGTTTCAAAGCAATCACATCTTACTTCCAGCATCTTCTTTCTTTGATACCTACAGTTCTGCAAATTCTCCTATCCACAGAATGGGAGAAGGCCTCTAATGCACACTTTTGTCAATGTAGCACCTCAGTCAGAGAAAAAAATATGAAGGGAACTGAGAGGTACACAGAAATACAAGGTTTCTCTCTAGCAAACTTTCTCCAGCAAACAATCTTCAAAGTCAAAGTCTGGGTGGTTATTGCTATCCAAGCAAGATATACAGTCAGTCCTTGACATCTGCGGGGGATCCATTCCAGACACCCTCGCGGATACCAAAATCTGCAGATGCTTGAGTCCACTTCCCCAATGGAGGCGCAGTCATATGGATGTTTCACCATTAGGGACAGTCCACGTTGTCCCCAGTGGTGGCGCATGCAGATGGCCACACCACCAATAGGGACAACAGGGCTCATTGTCTCTAATGGCAGTGCAACCATGTGCACATGCCACCACGGGGGACAAAGGGGCTGTCCCTAATGGCAGCGCAGCAATGTGCACACACCACCATTGGGGACAATGTGGGCTTGGCATATGAGGATGGTTGAATCCGGGGATGGTAAGTCCGCAGATACGGAGGGCAGACAGTACCACTATTTCTACTTAAGGAGAGCTGCCTTTTTAGTATTTGACCACAAATATTGTGACCACAACAGGGATGGGGAGAAGATTGCTCACCATGCATTTTAATAGAAGCTCACCTAATTCACACTTTCCAAACCAAATAGGAGAATCAGAACACAGTTATCCATCTGTATTAGCACTTCTCTAAACTCGCAATGCAGTTATCCAGTCAAAAATGCATATATGAAGGAAAAGTGAGTGTTAAAATACTGTGCATCACTAAAAGTAATGTACAGAAACGCACTCCATTAGGACGGAAAAACAAGTTGCCAAAAATTGTATGTTAAGCAAAACTGCATAGAAAATGCATGTAAAAATCTACAGTTTTGTAACTTTAAAAAAATCACAAATTGCTATGGGAAGGAGACAGAACTAAAATTTAAGGTGGAAAGATGGAAAATGGACAGAACCCAAATGAATATATTTGTCTATTCGGAATGTTTATCTCTACCTTTAATATAAAATGC